TATTGTTGTTGTGAGGGTACATTATTAATATTTTGTTCAAGTTGGAGTAATCTTTCACTGAGAGTATTGTATGATTCGTAGAGCTGTTTATTTTGGTTTGTGAGTTCGTTAATTGTGACATCTTTTTGATGTAGTTGATTGATGAGCTTATCGAAGTGAAGAGTTTTGTGAGGAGTATTGATGGTGTTATCAATGAGTTCGTCATTCTGCATGAACATGTCATTGATGTTGTCGTTATGATTATGTGAGGCAGTTGTATCATCAAATTGTGTGTGAGTAGAAGTTTTTGAACTTGGTGTTTGAGTGGTGAGGGTGTTAAGAATTTTATCTAGCTTGGAGTCGAGTTGTTGAAATTTTGCCATGATATTGTTGACATCATTTCTAAGTGAAGTGACTGCATTACGAATAGATGAGATTGAGTTTAAAGAATTATTGGTGGGAGTATTGTGAGAGTTATTAAGGTTTGTTTGGTTCCAAGGACATAGTGTAGGTGACCTCGTGTTATCAGAAAGATTAGTCTGTCTTTCTGTTTTTTTGGAAATTGTAGATGAATTTTGTAGGAGAGCTTGTTTGTATGATTTTTTTTTTGTAGGAGTGGATATACTGATTTCTGGTTTACGAACTTCCAATCTTCTTTTTTGATATAACTTGTTTAGTTGTTTGTATTGAATAGAATGACGCAATTTACTCTTGCAAATTGAAGCTTGATGTCCTATTTTAAAGCACATATTGCATGTGATAGCTGTAGGTAGTTCCCAGTTTAGTTGTGAATTTCTGAGAATAACGTTTTGTTGCATAGCGAATGCGGCGTCCAGTTCAGATTCAAAGAGGATCCAAGCGAAACGTTGTCGTTGATATTTGACAGATGATCTTGGGATAAAACAGGATCTGGCTTTTATGGATGAGAGGAATTCATCTAGTTCATATGCAGTACATCCGTATGGTAAGTTTGTTAGTTTAAGTTTGTAGCACTCTCGAGTTATTATAGTTTGATATTGATTGGTGAGAGGGAAGATTCTAACTCGATTATTGCCTATGAGGATGGACCAGTGTGATAATGCATCGTTGGCTTTGTCTATGTTGGAATAGCGGATTGTTATATATTGTCATTGATTAATAATTTTTTTTCAGAGTTTCACTATGTGTCCAAATCTGGAAAAAACAGATCTTATGAGGCTTTCTTCAGTGTTGAGAGGAACATCTCTGAGAGCAA